TGAGCTGTACCAATTTAACTGCCAGAGGTATGTGGGTGTGCTCAAAACTAAATGTCCTCTTTGGGGGATAGGAGGTAGAATTCCTACAGGAATAAAAACATGTCCATTAGAAGGCTTGGCAGCAACCCTTCTGCCTGCATTTAGTGATATGTAATACAAGAGAGCCCTCTTTCAACACATTTTGCTTCACTTGGCAAAGCACACTGCTCTGCTACTAAGTCCACACTCAGCTTGGAGCAAAGACTCAGCCTGGAGTTTTGGAGCAAAGACTCTGATGAAATTTCCTCTAAGATATGTGTGCTTGCAAATCAGTTAGTGTAATTTATGATTCTGGATTTATATTTCATAGAATCATAGAGTTAAAAGAGACCACAAGGGTCATCCAGTCAAATCTCCTGCCATGCAGGAACTCACAATCAAAGCATTTAATATATCCAATACTAACTTTCTGCTAATCAGAAGAGGGAAAGACTGGTGACCTAGAGCTAGACTATGTTGTCACAGACTAGGTTCTGGGATTCAGTTGAATTTAGATAGCCTACCCATGTTATGAATGCCAATGTGGTTTAGTGGTTGGTGCATTGTTCTATGACTCTGGAGACTAGGGTTCGAATCTCCACTCGGCCATGGAAGCTCACTGGGTGACCTTGGACAAGTAACACTCTCTCAGCCTCAGAAGAAGGCAAAGGCAAATGCCCTCTGAACAAATTTGACCGAGAAAACCCTGTGATAGGGTCACCTTATTGTTGCCATAAGAAAAGACCAAGCTTGAAATACCCCTAGAAGCCAGGATGATCAAATTGATGCTGTTGTATTTTGGTTACATCATGCAAAGGAATGGCTCATTAGAAGAGATAATAATGCTAGGAAAGGTAGAGAGTAGTAGAAAGAAAGGAAGACCACACACCAGACGGCTAGATTCAATTAGGGACTCTATGGGCAAAAATCTACAAGACCTAAGCAGAGCAGTGGAAGACAGGATCACTTTGAGTTGAGGTCGATTTGAGGGGAGTTAACAAGAAGAGGAAGAAGAAGAAGAAGAAGAAGAAGAAGTCAGAAACGACTTGAAGGCACACAATAATCCATGCTAATGTAAAGTTCAAAGTTAGGCTGTAGTCTTTGTGTGTGGACAATGTGTGTGACTTGATGCATCCATGAAGCCCCTCCATCTCCAAAAATGTCTTCTCTCTCACTGTTTCCTTCTCCCATGATATGTTGTTTACTTTGGCTTGTGAGACAATGGCTTTCATTACTACTTGGACCAGAATACTTGGCAAAGTGTAAATCAACTGTTTTCTTTGTACCAATTCAATTTCTAACTTGTTTTAGTCTGAACTAAAATCAGTCCAGAACAATTTTAGGCAGAGATGAACCTGAACCAGAATTCCCATTTCAGGAGACTATGGTCTAAAACACTGCAGAAAGAATCCAGTATGAGACTTTTTTAACTGTCCTGGCTCAGTGCTAGGGAATCCTAGGAACTGTAGTTTATTGTGGCACCAGAGCTCTCTGACAAAGAAGGCTCAATGTCCCAGAAAAAAAATACAATTCCCAGAATTCCCTACCATTGAACCAGGACAGTTAATGTGGTCTCAAACTGGATTATTTCTGCAGTGTGTTTTGGACAAGTGTTGGATCAGGGGTAGGCAATTTTTCCCCTTTAAGGGCCAAGGGACTTCAGCTCCCAGAATCCCAGGAGCTATTGGCCAACATGGGACTATTGGCCAACATGGCTGAGGCTTCTGGGAGCTGAAGTCCCTCGGCCCTTAAAGGGGAAAGGTTGCCTACCCCTGGGCCAGATGCTACAGGCCTCCAAGCCCAGTGGAAACATTATGTACATTTGAGAAAAGCTGGATCTTTGTACTTGGGGACAATAGAAACAATCTTCAGTTCTGTAACTCAGATTCTCTAAGAGACCGCTACCAACAGATTAGATATAACTCGGATAGTTTTGGAGAGATCCACGCTAGCCAATAAAAGTTCTCTTCTGAAAAAGAAGGCATGAAGAGATCCCCTAGAGGCTGAAAGGTAATACGGTAAGTTTCAAAAAGCTGTTAAATTCTTTGGCAGCTGGTTTTGCTTTGGGAAGTTTGTGGCAAACATGTGGAATTTGCCGCCAGTGGCACACAGTACATATCAAAGAATTTAGCAGATTTGTGTGGGTCAAAGTGGGTCAGAGTAAACATGACTAAAAACAAAGAACAAAACATTGCGTGTTGGACTGTGACTCTGGAGGCCAAGGTTCAAATTCTCTCTCGAGCACAAAAACCCACTAGGTGACCTTGGCCAAGTCACACTCTCAGCCTCACAGGATGGCAATGGCAAACCCCCTCTGAAGAAACTTGCCATGGTAGGTTCACCTTATGGCTTCCATAAGTCAAAATGACTTAGAGGCACACAACAACAACATCCAGCCTGATAGCCAAAAAGACATTGCAGTAGTCTAGTCAGGTCAGCTGGACTCTACTTCCCTCCCAAGTCTCAGTTAAGTATCTGTCAGTCATCAAAGCTGAGATTCTTCACTGACCCTGTAGTTCCCTGCCCTAGCCTAAGTGACAAAAATATGCTACTAGTTTTAATAATGGTTTCTAAAGGCCTGAAGGTCCTACAGTATAGCTGTAGTGACACCTATACCTAGGATGTAACATTTATCACTCACTATTGGCTAGAACTTGGGAAAGTTACTTTTTTGGACTACAACTCTCAGGATTCCTTAGCAGGCATGGCCATTGCCTATACTTGTCTGTTAAATGTGGGAGTTGTAGTCCAAAAAACCAACATTCCTAGGCTCTGCTGTTGGTTAGAGCTGTTGAGCCCACCTCAAAAGCCCACTAATACAGCAATATCCACACCTTGTCCCACTGCACTCTTTGGCCTCTGGAAAGTCAAAATCCAATTTTGATATTTCTCTAAGTAAGGGGGAGTGTGGCCCTCTAGATGAGGGCTAGAAATAGTGTGGCTCTCCAGATGTTATCCAGATGTTGTCAGAGTGCAACTCCCAGTTGCTCTGGCCAGCAATACTGATATTAGACATGCTGGAAGTTGTGTCCAGCATCTGGAAGGCTATGATTTCCACCCCTGCTCTTGATGATGTTGGACTCCAACATCCAACTTCTCTAGTTGTGTTATTGGGTGGAAAAAATGGACAGGGCCCATGTACCTTTAATAGTTGGTAGAAGAGGGAAATTCAGCAGCAGCTGTTTGTTGTCAAATTCTCTCTCCTGCCCAACCATTAAAGGTACAGGAACTCTTTCCTATTCTTCACTTTGCAACCTTATCCCTAGCTAGCATAGCTGCTAATGAGGAATGATGTGAGCTATAGTCCAACAACATCTGGATGGTCACATCCCTACTTTAAAGTTCCGAGGAGACATCAGAACAGCCTCCAGTTTGGGATCTTGGGGCCCCACTCCCATCCCCACCCCTCTCCCTCCATAGATCTACCTCACACCCAGAGCACAGTTCCAAATTCCTGAGAGGTATTTGCTGATGTCCCATTCCATTCAGATGAAATGTCTGGCATGGAAGTGCTGTCTCTGCGAGAGAGCAAGCCAGCTTTCCGGCCCTCACAGACAGAGACCTCATCCCCCCCCCCTGACTTCCCCTCTCCCCTTTTGTCATTTCAGAAAGGGAAAGTGGATCCTTTGCCAGATAAGTTCAAAGGCATTGGAGGGCTGGGAGGAGAGGGGATGGGATTGTGGGATATGCATTATACCGCTTCCCTGCCTGCCCTTTTTCTGCAGCGTCAGCTTCATCTCTACAAAAGGATGACTGTTGAGTTTCATGGCTTGGACAAAAGACTGTCTTCCTCCCTCCCTCTTTCCATTTCATCCCCATTTTAGACTGAGCTATCAAAAAGTTGGCTCTTAGACTTACTCCTCCACTGCTAGTTATGCCACAACTAGATTCTTACCCACATTCCACTCTGTGAAAATTCTGAATTCTGAAACTCTCAAATGGACAAGAAATGATTTGCAAGGGGCAGAACAACACATTTTCATGTAAAGCATACACTCTCTTATTGGGCTGTAGCCACAGTTGGCACCTGGAGTAAGGCTGGTAGAATTGTCAGAATGAATAAACATCTCCCAGAGTTTGGAGATTGTTTTTCAGAATCCCTCAAGAACATGGCCTGCTCTGATAGCTATAGTCTTAAAAAAAAAAAAAGAGGAACTTTTCCAAACTCTGCAGAAAGTTCTGTAATAACATCCCTTTGGTTTGCTTTTGGTCTGTGGACTGCAGATGACTGAGCTCACAAAGAATATGCAAGAATTCAGCCCACAGCATTTGGCTGTACTTTAGCCCAGATTTGTTGTGAGGACCAGCCCTTTGCCAGTGCTGTGTCCTCCCCTCCTGATTTGAGAAAGAGGCAGGGTCTCATGACTGACTAACACACAACATTTGGAGATGCTCATAAGCAACAGGTAGCTTTGCTGCTTGAAAAGCCCACCGCTGCTGCAGGACTGGTTGTCTCTGCAATTGTGCTGAGCTCTTGTGAGTGGCTTAACTTTGTGCTGCTTCCAAGAATCTCTGAAATTCATGTTAGGCACTTGCCAGACTGAAAGATAAGAGTTGCCATTGGTAGTCTGGGAAGAACATATGTAACCTGCTGATGAGCATCAGCTCTCTGCCAGGATAAAATGTGGTTGGACTAAAGATTTCCCAGGCATTGTGTTTTTTGGAAATTTTGTAGACATACATGTTGGCATTCCAATATATTGTAAATTGCTTGAAGACCATTCTGTTGAGAGGCAGAATATAAATCTGTTAAAGAAAAATAAATATTTTCAAGTGTTTGTTTTCAGATTAAAAACAGGCCAGCAGAATAGACATTTTTGTGAAAGAAAATGTTGTTTTTGTTGTGTGCCTTCAAGTCATTTTCGACTCATGGTCACCCTATCATGGGGGTTTCGTGGCAAGATTTGTTCAGAGGGAGTTTGCCTTTGCCTTCCTCTGAGGCTGAGAGTATGACATGCCGAAGGAAACCCATTGGTTTTCTGTGGCCATACAGGGATCTGAACCCTGGTCTCCAAAGTCATAATCCAATGCTTAAACCACTATGCCATGCTGGCTCTCAAAAGAAAACACTAAAATATTTGTGAAAAAACTGAGCAGTTTTTCATCTCAGCACTAATTTTTCTTCTCCATAGTTCTAATCCTTCTAATCATTTTGTTGTTATTATTAGCACCATCAATGTACATTTCACTTAGCAGAGTAACAAGAAGAAAATGACAATTCCTTGCTGCTTGAAGATCATAATCTTAATCTAAATCCAAAAGAGATCTACAGAGGAAGGAAAAGAAAGATCAAGATAATATAAAAAGGATAGCTTGAAGATTTTTGGGGGGGACTAGAATTCCATGCTGAGATTCTGGGAGTTACAATCTAAAAATGTAACTTTCCCAAGTGCTTGGAAGAATATACGCAAATCCAGTTCCCATGCAAGAATGCACATTTAGCATCACCATTCATTTCTTGCAATGTGGCAATATAAGCTTAGTAGCCCAGATGGTGCAAAAGTAAAGCAAAGGAACTTTGAAACCACTTCTGGAATTTCAGCAGTCTAATTAGGACATCCTCATCTCCAGGCAAAGAGAAAGAAGCTTTGGCAGGGTGAGGCTCCTGATCTGGGGGCTGGGTTTCGATGGAGGTGATTCACTAGAGCAAAGGAGAGAGCCACACGTTTGGTGCCAAACATATTTTGGCAACCATCAGCTGATGACTCGATTGTCTCCTTGTGCCCCATGGGGAGGCAGGCACTACAGGTTACCTCATTGTGTGGAGGAGGAATGCAGAAAGGAAGAGGTGCTGCCAAAGGTGAGGAGAGACAACCCACTAAGGGAATAAGTGGGTGGGGAAAATGTTGACTCAAGGGAATGTTCCCCAAGTCCTGTGTGCCTCCACCCTTTCCAGTTACAGGTTTGATTTTATCATCTATTTTTTTTTTTGAAAAAGAAAAACATCCTGCTAGTCAGTCTGAAAGATTCTTAAGTGATCTAACTCTGAGCCTGCACAGACTGCTAGAAATAATCCAGCTTGAGACCACTTTAACTGCCCTGGCTCAGTGCTAGGGAACCATGGGAGCTGTTGTTCATTGTGGCACCAGAGCTCTCTGACAGAGAAGGCTCAATGTCTCAGAAAAAAACTACAATTCCCATGATTCCCTAGCACAGCCAGGACAGTTAAAGTGGTCTCAAGATGGATTTTTTCTGGCAGTCTGTTCAGGCCCTCTATTACTCTAGAATCATAGGATCATAAAGTTGGAAGATACCACAAGGGCCATCCTGTCCAACCCCCCTTACCATGCAAGAAGATACAATCAAAGCATTCCTGATAGATGGCCATCCAGCCTCTGTTTAAAAACCCCAGTAGTAAAGCAAGAGACTTTACTACTCTTTGAGGCAGTGTGTTCTACAGCTCTTACCATTAGGAAGTTCTTCCTAATATTTAGGTGGAACCTCTTTTCCTGTAGCTGTCTCTATCCCTACTTCTACCTCTACCCTCATCTTTACCCTCTACCCCATTTCTGTCTCTTCCTTCTTTCTACTTGCTATCTCTTTTTACTCTAGTCTGTATCCCCAGTCTCTATCTCTACACTCTGTCTCTACCTTCTATCTCTATCTCAAGAATAGAGGATGCAGAGGAGCAGCAACAATAACTGAACAATGGCAACGTAAGGGAGTCAGATGCCTTCCAGAATAGAAATGTTCATTGCTTCCTAAACATACTCTCTGAAATGACCATATGAATTAATTTCGGGAAGGAGTGCCATAGAGAGGATGCTAATGCAGTAAAGCCCTTGTTCCTTGTTCTGCTCCATATACTAAAACTATACTCATCCTGAATAGTAGCCAGTGATGGTTCTATCCTCCATGAATTTATGTGTTCTCTTTTTTGAACCATCCAAGTTGTGAGCCATTAATTCCACATAGTAAAATAATTATATTCTTAATGCTGTTGTTATAAGGGACCGTTATATGTCTTTTCCCCAGGCTACTGGGGCAGGTGGGGGGATAGTACAAGTTAGGCAGCAGTCTATTAGTCCACTTCTTGGAGATCACCAGCTTCCTACTGGTTACTGGGATTCTTGCAGAGAATGCCAGATGAGCTGAGCCGTTATATATCCCAGCAAGGCATTTCTTACATTAATGTAAAATAGTTGTGCTTAATAATAATTTAAAAAAGCATAACTCACTGTCTAATTAATTTGAATTAGTTATGTCTAATCTTAACATGTTAATAGATCCTGAGTTTTTACCTTACTTTATAACTTCAAAAAACATTGGTGGTCATGGAGGTTTTGTTTGCTATCATTTTTAAGAAAGCAAAGTTCTTATCCCAGTACCTAGAGGAGATGAAAGCACATTTATATTCTTTGTATGACTTATCTGTGTAGCAAATTAACAATGTCCTGCAGTGTGGGGTGGGTGGTTCCTCCCCCCCATATAACTATGTACACCCACCAATATTAGTGTGCAAATTAGACTATCCAGATTTAGAGATCTGACACATGGCAATGCAGGTCCTTCTGTGAGCTTTCAAGGGAACCATGGCTTCTCTGCAAAGCTGCAGCCTATACAGTTTCAGAGAGACCGAGAAGGAGGGCAAACAGGAAACAGATGAGAGCCAGGGTCAAGGATTAGGAAGACAGTCCAGTCACAGGAACCAGCATAACAGTGAATCAGAGCCAGGGCTGGGTGGAGACGAAGGGACAGCTGTGCTGCATATCTACTCCAGGGGATCCGGGAACAGGAACTGAGGCTCCTGGACAAAGGCTAGGAGCAAGGTGGGAAGAAGGACAATTTGGGAAGGTCACATCCAAGGCCTGACCTGGAAGCTTTTGTCCTTGGGAAGATCCTGAGCTTTGGGAGAGGTCAGCATGAAAAGGGCACCCTCTGCTGGCAAAAGCCTGCAATTCCCTAGTAGGTTGGAAACTCATGGAGCGGCTGAGTTCCAAACATCCGCCATTCACACCCTTTGGGTTGAAGGTTGAAAGATGGAAGTCTTTTGCTCTGAGATGAGTGTGTTCCAACTCTTTGTCCAGGATGTAACTTTGACATGCAGATATCCCCACTAGCCATTCATGATTTTAGAGCCATGCTTAATGGAGTTTCTGTTAATTTGAATAAGAGGAAAAATTTAGGATAGATGAAAATTAAACTTGTACCACATTGGAAGGCATTAGATATGAGGAAGAAATGATATAAGACTGCTTTCTTTCACCTCCCCTTCATGAGTATCTGAGCTATTTCTTCCTGGTATGGGTTGGTTTTGGAGACAGAATTCTGGATTAGAGGGATTTTCAATCTAATCTGGGAACAGTGGATGGTTCCAGAATTCCTGACAAAATGGAATTCTGAAAATGGATCTGAATACAAGGATTTGTCTGTAGTCCATTATGAGCTGAGCACCAGACAGGGTATATTTTAGAGCTGACCAGCCCTTCTTTTTCCAAAATATACTTTGATTAAGTGAGGTGGGGAGGATGGCCACAGGGAGGTGTTGTGACAATGGTCAAGGCTTGGACAGAGCAATCCTTAATTCTGAGAGAGTCTTGAGGGATGGGATATTCAGTGTGTTCCAACACAATCCTTAAACTCTAGAAGACACCGAGACTCTCACTTGCCAGGTTCTTCATTAACATGGAGTACTGTTCAGGAGGTCTAGGCTTGGAGATAAGGCCATCTCTACCAGTTCTTGCCTCTGCCTTCTCTTCACATGGATAAACCTTGAAAATCTCACAGGTGCACCAACATTATGCACTTTGGAAGATTCTCAGGAATGGAAAAACACATGGAAATATTTCTTGAGAAAGCTTGAGAAAACGGAGCTAAATAGAAGAAGATCCAGAAAACAAGCACTTATTAGTAGCAGTAATGCAGCATAGATATTCATAATAACGCCTATACAACACTTGTCCCATCAGCCTCCTTATATGTAAATCTTTCCATGCCAGTCACACCCATAGATACCCAAGAAGTATGCTGTTGAAAGGAGGATTTGTATATTAAGCAGATTGCTGAAGCATGTGAGATAGAACAACAACATTCTCTTGCAGAAAACCCCCTACCTCTGATGTGAATAACTGGGGGGGGGGGGGGGGGGGGGGTAGGGTGCCACATTAGCCCCCTAGTAGAGTTTATGTGCACCCATGCTGCAAATTTGGGGGAGTCCCCCAATGAAACCTTATATTTACCCCTGGGACATTTTAGGGCAAGGAGAAACATTTTTTGAAAAATGGGAACTGATTGCAGTTCACTTTTGCACAACAGTCTGCCTGAGCTATCCAGGGTGGTCTCGGGAGTGGTGTTAAGTCCCCATGGCTTACGTTGCTGGGGGACTTCAACATCCATGTCGAGGCTACCCTGTCATGAGTGGCTCAGGACTTCATGCCCACAATGACAACCATGGGGCTGTCCCAAGTGGTATCTGGCCCCACTCATGCTGCTGGATACACTCTAGACCTTGTGTTCTGTAAAGGGGGGTTGATGGTGATCAAGAATGGAGGAGCTTTCTACTGTTCTGTTAACATGGACAAATCATTTTCTGGTCAGGTTTAGACTTACTGGAACTCTGCAGGGGTGGAGGACCCATTAAGATGGTCTGCCGGAGGAAGCTTATGGATCTGGATGGATTCCTGATGGCTCTTGCGGAGTTTCCTGCTGCCTTGGCAGGTGGTCCTGTTCAACCCCTGATTGATCTCTGTAATGGAGAAATGACCAGGGCAGTTGCCATGATCGCTCCTAAGCTTCCTCTCTCATGGAGTGGAGCTAAACTAGCCCCTTGATTCTTTAAGGAGCTGGCAGCAATGAAGGGAAGAAGACGGAGACTAGAGCAACAGTGGCAGAAAACTCAGAGCGAATCCGACTGAAAACAGGCTAAAATTTATCTGAAGATGTATGGTGATGCAATAAAGGCAGCAAAAAAGGCTTTTTTGACTAAAACTATTGAGGCTGCACAGAATCGTTCAGCTGAGCTGTTTTGAGTAGTCAGGGATCTGTTACAATCTGGTCCTGTAGAGAATGTATGCCACTCAACAGCTTGTTGTGAAGAATTTGCCCATCATTTCAC